GTTCGAGCCCTGCTCCAGGAAGATCCCACGTGCCGTGGAGCAACCAAGCCTGTACACCACAACTACTGAGCCCGTGCCCTAGAGCCCAAGTGCCACAACTACTGAAGCCTGCACACCTAGAGCCCATGCTCTGCAACAAGAGAAGCCACCCAATGAGAAGCCCGCGCACCACAGTGAAGAGTAGCCCCCACTCACTGCAACTACAGAAAAGCCCACACGCAGCAACAAAGACCCAACACAGCCAAAAAAAAAAAAAAAAAGGTACAGATGATAACAAGTTAATTCTTAAAACAAAAACAAAAACAAAAAAAAGGTAAACTCAAAATAAGTAAAAAAAAAAAAAAAAAGCTGATGTAAACAAAATAGAAAACAAAGAGTAAAATTAACAAATCCAAAAGTTAATTCTTTAAAAAGACCAATAAAATTAATAAAATACAAGTTAGGCTGATCAAGAAGGGGGAAGATCACAAATTATTAGTAACGGAAATGAAAGATGGCTATAGACACGTCAGAGGCTACAGACAGTTAAAAAATGATATGAAAATACTATAAACAACTTTATACTAGAAACTAAAACAACTTAGATGAAAATGACAAATTCCTTGAAAATTACAGCTAATACAAATTTTGAAAATTTTAAATCAATATAAAATGAAAAAATTTGACTAGTTCTATATTAAATAAACTGAATTGGTTATCAAAAACCTTCCCATAAACTCCAGGACAAATGGTTTTGTTGGTAAATTCTATCAAACATTTAAGGAAGAAATAACATCAATCTTCCATAAACTCTTACAGAAAACAGATGAGGAGGAAATACTTCTCAGCTTGTTTTCTGAGGCCAGCATAATCCTAATACCTGACAATCCTAAAGCCTGACAATTACATTATAAAACTACAAATTTACAAATGAATATCCCTCTTTGAACACAGACATAAAAATCTCTAACAAGATATTAATGAATTGAACCCAGATAATACATTAATGATCAAGTGGGAGTTTATCTCAGGAATGAAAGGTTGATTTAATATTGTAAAATTAACCAATGTAATCAACCATCACAACAGAATAATGGAGAAAACCCACTTAATCATTTCAATGGCTACAGAAGAAAATCTTACATATACCACGTTCATTTGAATTATTGTTCCCCGTATCTAATGTGTCATTCCTCTCTGGCTGCTCTGCTTTCAAGATTTTTTATTTGTCCTTAGTTTTTGGAAGTTTAACTTTGATGTGTCTGGGTATGGATTTCTTAGATTTATCTCACTTGGGTTCACTCAGCTTCTTAAATCTCTAGGTTTATGTTTTTCAACCAAATTTTAGGAGTATTGAGCCATTATTTCTTGAATTTTTTTTAGCTCTATATTCCTTTTCCTCCCCTTACTGTACAAGTGACATGTATGTTAGATCTTTCTTTATTGTCCCATAGGTCCCTGAGACTCAATTCAATTATTTTTCAATCTTTTTTCTTGGTTGTTCAGATTGGATGTCTATTGATCTGTCTTCAAATTCACTGATTCTTTCCTCTGTCATTTCCAATTTGCCATTGAGTCAGTCCAGTGAAATTTTTATGTCAGTCACTATTTTGCAGTTCTAAAATTTCATTTGTTCTTTCTTTATAATCTTCTATTTCTTTGCTGATTTTTTAAATTTTTCATTTGTTTCCAGTTTGTTATTGATTATTGAGACATTTTTATAATAGTGACTTTAAAATCCTTGTCTGATAATTCCAAATACTATGTCACCCTATGTAGGTGTTGGCATCTACTGATTTTCTTTCTCATTAGAGTTGAGATTTCATTGGTTCTTGGTATGATGAGTAACTATGGACTGTATCCTGGACATTATAAGACCTGGTTCCTGTTTAAATCTTCTATTCTAGCAGGTAGTCAACCTCTTTAGGTCAGAACACATGTCCTAGACCACTTTTGTGGCTTATGGTTCAAATGTCAATTGAGTTTATAAAGCTTTTGCAGCGCCATTCTGGTCACCTCCCTCAGGTGACAGTGCTCCAATGGAGACTCTATAGTCTCCACTAGTGTTAGCTCAGGAGGAGGAAGGGCACAAACTCATCACTACACAGTAAAAGGGGATGGTATAAATCCACCCACTGACTCAGTTGGCGAGGGGCTTTGCCTAGTTAATGCAGGAGTGGAAGGGAGGAATTAAAGTTCCATCTACAGTCTCCATAGGGGTGGGCTGTTATTCCCTTCCTATTACTGTGGGGGAGGGGTATAAGTCAGAGTCCCACCTTCAGGCTCCATGGGAGGTGGGCACCATTCACTTCTGAGAGGGGCAGGTAGAAGTTAGACTTTTACCTAAAGGCTCCATGGAGAAAAAAGTGACACCTCATTGCTATAGGCGAGGGTATAAAATAGAGTGCATTACTGTGGTGCCACTTGGGGCTGGGAAGGGATTCACTGCCACAATATGCAGGTATTATTAAAAGGCTTCTCTTCAGCTGAACTGCCCTTTTCCCAGTCCTTTGGCTAGAGAGCAGGTTTTTCTTGGAGATGTTCTTTTTGCCTATGCTCATTAGCATTTCCAGTTTGCAGGGCACCCAGGCCAGGATATACAGGAAGCAAGAAACCCCCCCCACCCTGCCCCAGGGTACTCATTGCTGTGTGGCTCCTCATATCCCAAGGTCCCTGGTCAGTCTGCCATCTTTCCTCCACTTTTGAGAGTCTTCTGGTAGGTGACTTAGTATTTTGTCCAGAAATTTTTACTGTGGTTAATGGAAAGAGTAAAATGAAATGCATTTACTCCATCTTGTTCAGAACCAGAAGATGCAATTTGTTTGCAAATGCAAAGATAATATGTATTGAGGAGTAGAAGGTTGGAAAGATGGCTATATATATAAAATGAATCAGTATAGTAAATTGTTAGCGGCAGAATCTTGGTGCAGGTATATGGGTGTAATCTGTAAAAACTCCTTTCAACTTTGCTGTACATTTGAAAATTTTCACAATAAAATCGTGGGGGGGATCTTTTGATTAAATTAAAAATACAGGTAATTTAAAAAAATCTATACCATGCAAAGAGAAGAAAAGAATTCTGTTGAGTGAAAGAGAGGTACTGGAAATTTGCTCTGATCACTAAGTTAACAGATTAGCTGGAACGAGAGGCTATTAGATAATAACAGCTCTGGGTAAAAGCTCTAGCCAGATGTATGCTACTTCTCATTGTTAATAGCTCATTTTGTCCATCGCCTGGTACTTAGTCCTTGTCATCTTTATATCCCTGAGAGTAATTCCATCAGAGTTAACAAGGATAGTGCAGTTGAGTCACTGAAGTACTTAAAGGACAGTTAATGTTGGGGAAGGACTAAATCCATTATTTGAAATGAAAATAAAAGAGAGGGAGATGTCTTTAAAAATGAAATCTTTATTTTTGAAAAAACAACCTAATCAACACACAGAATAAATGTGGAAGGTCCAATCTGAGGGGAATTGGGCACAGAGTTATGCCAATGATCCCCTGAGTTAAGGTTGAACTTTTTAAGACACAAAATCTACTCCAATATTAAATAAAAAAATTTAAATTAATTAATTAATTTTTTAAAAAGACACAAAGTGACCACCTCCACAGAGTAGAAGGTCTTAGGAATGCAAGGCTGTCTAGGGCACTGATTATCCTTATTCTTCCCACAGATATAAACGGGATGTTTGATATACAGCATATAGTAGGGAAAAAGCACAGGCATGGGAACAGGATGGACTGAATCCTGTCTCTCTTTTCTGCTAACTAAATGACACTGAGTCAATGACTGCAGTTCTCAGCATCTCAATAGCCCATCTGTAAAATGGAGACAATGAATGCTGAAATAAGGATTAAATGAAATGATAAATATAACATGCTCTCTTGCCTATCTAGAAACTTATTTAGGCACACACTTTGTTAATTCTGAGGATGAAATAAAAAGAACAAGAGCTATTCTATTCCTTTCACACAGTGATGAAAATTAATCAAGAACCTTGGATGAGTGAAGCAGATAAATGTCCAATGGTCTCTTACGTTTCCTGTCAGGACAGCAAAGACAGTACCCGCCTCCTGGCTCTTCTGCTGACTGGTTTATTCTGTGGCTAGGCTTTCCTGGGCCAAGGCAAAACTGTTAGTTAAGGCTGAGCTCATTGAGTCAGCAGCTGTCCTAGAAACTTCACAGGACTCTCCTACGTTTCCTTCTAGAAGGGCCTACCCTAAACCTATCTGGTATAAGATTGACCAGAATTTTCAACATAATGGTATGAAACCTCATAAACAATAGCTTCTCCCCAGTGGCTGAAATATAAGTTTTATATTTTTTAAAAATGGCCACCTTAAATTTTCTTTTTTTATTAATATTCTAAATGCCTGAATATGTTGTTTGGTAAAATATCTAACATTCTTTTATTCCTATTACAAAATAACAATGAATGTAATGACTAAAACAGTGATTCAACATTTATCTTGTGTCTTTCATTCATACTTTTTTTGATCCTCACAATGCTCTAGCCCGCATGCCTCTCTTAATCTAACAGTCATGCCCCCAATTTATGCAGTTAGCTCCATATAAAAGCCAGCCTGAGGCACCTTTTTACTATTCACAGAATCAGTCCAAAATCTTTTATTTTGGCCTGCTTTATGCTCCACTTCCTGACTTACTCTCACTCAGCCCATATTTATAGGCTCATTTCACAACTTGGGATCTGTGAATTGCCCTCTTCTCCGGCTATGATTTCTGGCTTCCCTTATTAACTGTGAATAGTATTTGCCCCACTGGCTATACTCCTTTAAGTCATGGTGTACAAATATTCTGCTAGGCCTAGTTGCTGAGCACAGGCCCTAGCAGCCAATACTTCCAAACTGGTTTACACACCAATCTAAACACTTACGTACTATCTAAGCTTTCAATCTATTCATGTTTAGGGACCAAATGAGGGAATTTCCAGAATTAACAAACATGGCAGTCAGTTTCTGCCTATTTCTTGTGCTAATTATTATAGGCATTCTCCTTTACCTCTGCCTTTGGCTCAGCTGATTCATTAGAGGTATCAAGTTGTTCCTTGGCTTGGGCCATCTGAGTCATCAACCTATCCATATGGGACTGGATGTCTGCCAGTATCTCAGTCACATGAGCTGTGGCCATTGCTTCCTGGATGTCCACTAAATGAAGGGCCTTCTGCTCCTCATCAGCAATCACTTTTTGAACTTTCTTAAATTCCTGCTGTATAAACACCTTCATCTGGTCCCGGGTTACCTGTAGAAAACAGACAATTAAGAATAAGTTGGACACACAAAGAAATGGAAGAGTAGAGCTATTATTGTAAGTGCTAGGCAGTCCTGACCAAAACACAAACAAACCATGGGTCCTAAGGGATCCTGAAGTTTTGGGAATATCCTCTGAACAATGCTCCTCTAATATCGTTGATGAATTTCCCACTAATCTTTCTTACCTTTTTCATTCTTTAGGAAGTAATTCCTTATCTGTCCTTTTTACTTTTTCCTTTATTTATTTTTTGAATTTTATTTATTTTTTTTTATACAGCAGGTTCTTATTAGCCATCAGTTTTAACCACATCAGTGTATACATGTCAATCCCAATCGCCCAATTCATCACACCACGACCACCACCACCCCACGGCTCTCCCCCACCTTGGTGTCCATAAGTTTGTTCTCTACACCTGTGTCTCTATTTCTGCCCTGCAAACCAGTTCATCTTTACCATTTTTCTAGGTTCCACATATATGCGTTAATACACTATATTTGTTTTTCTCTTTCTGACTTACTTCACTCTGTATGACAGTCTCTAGACCCATCCACGTCTCAACAAATGACCCAATTTCGTTCCTTTTTATGGCTAAGTAATATTCCATTGTATATATGTACCACTTCTTCTTTATCCATTCGTCTGTCGGTGGGCATTTAGGTTGCTTCCATGACCTGGCTATTGTAAATAGTGCTGCAATGAACATTGGGGTGCCTGTGTCTTTTTGAATTATGGTTTTCTCTGGGTATATGCCCAGTAGTGGGATTGCTGGATCATATGGTAATTCTATGTTTTTAAGGAACCTCCATACTGTTCTCCATAGTGGCTCTATCAATTTACATTCCCACCAACAGTGCAAGAGGGTTCCCTTTTCTCCACACCCTCTCCAGCATTTGCTGTTTGTAGATTTTCTGATGATACCCATTCTAACTGGTGTGAGGTGATACCTCATTGTAGTTCTGATTTGCATTTCTCTAATAATTAGTGATGTTGAGCAGCTTTTCATGTGTTTCTTGGCCATCTGTATGTCTTCTTTGGAGAAATGTCTATTTAGGTCTACTGCCCATTTTTGCATTGGGTTGTTTGTTTTTTTAATATTGAGCTGCATGAGCTGTTTATATATTTTGGAGATTAATCCTTTGTCTGTTGATTCGTTTGCAAATATTTTTTCTCATTCTGAGGGTGTCTTTTCGTCTTCCTTATGGTTTCCTTTGCTGTGCAAAAGATTTGAAGTTTCATTAGGTCCCATTTGTTTATTTTTGGATTTATTTCCATTACTCTAGGAGGTGGATCAAAAAAGATCTTGCTGTGATTTATGTCAAAGAGTCTTCTTCCGATGTCTTCCTCTAAGAGTTTTATAGTGTCCAGTCTTACATTTAGGTCTCTAATCCATTTTGAGTTTATTTTCGTGTATGGTGTTAGGGAGTGTTCTAATTTCATTCTTTTACATCCAGTTTTCCCAGCACCACTTAATGAAGACACTGTCTTTTCTCCATTGTATATCCTTGCCTCCTTTGTCATAGATTAGTTGATCATAGGTGCATGGGTTCACCTCTGGGCTTTCTGTCTTGTTCCATTGATCTATGTTTCTGTTTTTGTGCCAGTACCATATTGTCTTGACTACTGTAGCTTTATAGTATAGTCTGAAGTCAGGGAGTCTGATTCC